AAAATGGCAATCACACATGTTTTGGGATTATCCCAAACTGAGTGTTCTTTGCCTTCTTCTTCAGATACAGACTGAATTGTCTGGCAGAGCATAAGTTGTCATTGTTATCTGTTAACGCATTGCCAGGCTTTAATGCGTAGAGGTAGGCACTGGACACTACTTAGAAACAGATGCTTTCTGTCCCCCAGAGTTTATATGGAAGGATGGGAGATAGAACAGGAGCATCAAAAGCTGAGACAATTTCGAAGGTAGACAGCAGTGGCAACAGTGCAGGCTCTTAGTTCTTCCTTGCTCCAGGAGGTGTGAGAAAGCAGGAGCCAGGCAGGCTCTGCTTCAGCACAACCTGGCATTAAAATGGTATTCTTTGAAAAGTACCTGCAATAAAATAGCATCTTCTTACTGTGAAGGTGTGCTTCCAGCAAGGATCAAGGTTATATCTGCTGATTTTAATGACAGAAAATGAGTGTGTGACATATTACTTGTGCTGCCATTGCAGAGTTAACTTGGCCAAGAGATAATTAATGGAAGATGTGTGGTTGAGTCCCCTGTGCTGCACTGAAAGTCTCAGGCTGTAATTGGTACCACTGGCTCTTGTAAAATAAACTGTACTCCTGACCCAGCTCAGAAATCAAAACTCAGCACTCCAAAAGAAACATTTAACTTTAGGGAACGGTCTCCTGATAAAGTGATTTTTAAAATTCAGACTGTTTTAAGCAAGTTTCTGGCTTCCAGTGCTGTTGCTCTCCTCAATGTTGTCCTATACCCTCTCTGATTTCCCTGCCACAGCTCTAAGCTTTATGTAGCTGGTGACTCTTGATGACGCATTTTGATGCATTCAGCACAACCACACACTAGGATGAACAAGAGATCACCATATTTCTGGCTGTGGAGCTAGAGTAAACATGGACCTGTGCCCAGACAGTGTTGGTGGTGGCTGGAAAACCAAGACTGAAAGTCTAACAAGGAGCTGGGAAAAAAATCTGCTCCACTGAAAACATGGTGCTGGAGCAAATCTGCTGTCATTCAGTACTCTGAGGGCTTTCAGGCAGCCTGGTTTTGGAAGACACCACTCTTCTGGGTTCCCTGACTCCTTCCCACTCCTCACAGTCACTCAGGAGCCATTTCCCCATATCCTGCTTATGCACAGGTATGAGGTAAGGCTGATAAGGAAGGAGAAGAGGGTCTGATAGCCAGCTCTGCTGCTGGCTCCCTGTGTGGCCTCATCATACCATGGCTCAGTGTCTCCACATAAAATGACTTACAGCAATTTCTTACCTCCCAGGAGGGTTGTGAGGATAAAACCAGCGACAGCCACAAAGTGCAAAGTTATTACAACCATCCATCCAGAGAGACTGTCAGCTTTAGCACGTAGGCTGCTATCAGACGTTGGAGCTGAGAGCATTCACAGAGACTGCTCTGTCGGATGGAGCATGTGGGCGCTCCTCTGGCATAGGTGCCTCTGGGCTTGGAGGGTTGAAACTCATACAAACCAATTTGTGCCTCAGAGGGAGAAAGCAAACTTCTCCCACCGGGTTTCTCCTTTCCTTCCAGAGGAAGGTGGCAAAGGAAACCTCTGCCACCTTGGGCACACTGGGGGAAACAGAGCTGAGGCTCACATCCTGCTCTGCAACAGCCCCCTGATGGGAAGAGCACAAGAAGCCATCCTGGGAGCCTCTGCTCCCTCATCCACAAAAGCAACAACTAGGTGTGGAAAGATGCTGTCAAACCCTACACCACATCAGTTCTTGCCTCTAACCACCCTGAAAGGAAGCACAGTGTAAACAGTCTAGTAAAGATTTATTCCAGATGCCTGGTGTGGTGCATCGGGAGATTAACATATTAAATCTGAAAACCCCACGAATTTTTTGCAGAGATAATCTGATGCTAGAGAACCGGGGAAACCTGTTAACAGCATACTCTGGATACTGGAGAAAATCATTCAACACTGCTTTTAAAGGACTTCAGATGACAATATTGCATGGGTTGGTAACACTTTGCTCCTCATCTTTTCAAATATACATTTGCAATAGTTTGTTTATCGCTAGCTTTTGCCTTGCAATCAGACAAACATGAGCTTTGCTCCTACTGGAGCTCCAGCTAAGCAGAGTAAGCCAAGTCAGACACTGCAAGAAAATTATGGGCAAATACGCAGGAGGTGTGTTTTGTTGGGGAGGATTGGACATAATATATTACATACAATCAGGCGTTGAAGTATTACTTGATAAAAATCGGGAGAAGAAACCAACAGCTCAGAATTATACAAGCTAAAATACAGGACCCGAGATGGATACCAAGGCAGCCCATGGGACAGGGAGAAGCAGAGGAGGGGATGCAAGTACACAAGGGAACTCAGCAGAGCAGGTGGGAGGGATAAACCTGCTGAAAGAGATGGGACTGGCACCACGCCTGACATATGTATCCTGAAGGCTGTCAGACTTCCCTTAAAACCAAGTTGCATGGGCAAGCTCCACCAGTCAGTTTGTCCTGTCACTGTGGCTGACTGACAAGAGCTGTCTGCCTACAACCAGTCTTCCAGGCAGAGGGGAGGAAGAGGTATGCATTATGCCTATTACACCAGAATTTATTTGTTTATGTGGCTGCAGCTTACTGAGCTCTACAGAAATCAGCAATGAGAATAAATAGGTTTCACAGCCAGCTGCTCCCATGCATCCTTCACTTGGCCAGATAAACAGACAACATATACTCTTTTATTCAGTCAAGAAGCAGACGCAAAGAAATGCTGTGGATATCTGCCCCTGACACAGTACACAGAGCAAAAGTTAGCCCTGGAGCTATTGGATGCTTTCCCGTGTTTCCCACCTTGTTTATCCAGACATACTAAGCAGCAACAAAGATGGTGAAACCAAAGAGCTGGGACCTCTCCTGGTGGAGCAAAGGGCCTATGGTCGCTTCTCTGGAGCTGGTGCTCCACGTTCCAGGACAGGCAGCACAGCTCAAGAAGAGTCACACCTAGGGCAGGATAGGTTGCCAGAGGGCTGCAGCAAGGGCAGCATGACATGGTTTGCAGACACCAGAGTCCCAGCTCACCCCAGAAACCATGTCCTCAACCCCTGTGTGCATCTGCCCTCTCCTTATTCCAGAACAACACTATGTAAAGCACTGGGACAACCTGGGACAACCACCTTGATCTAAAAAACCAAAAACCAAACCAGTCAACAGTTTGGAAGCCCAGAGTTCCTGCCTTTCCTCAAGGTGGATTTCTTTTCAAGCCAACTATCCCCCACAAATTTTGTCAGCAATGGTCCAGGCACAAGCTACTTGGTTAAGGTGGGCTGTTGCCCCAGTTTTGTCCCATCCCTATGTTTTACTTTTGCATGAGGAAGTTGAATATTCCATTTCATATAAACCCAGGCACATGTGAGTGTTTATGTGTGACCAGCTACATATAATTATCTAAGATGTAGGCCTATAAATGATTCATTAAGATCTGTATCAGTTGGTTATTTAATGTGTCCTGCTAATTAAAACTTTCTGATAAAGACAACTACAGCTTTCTGTAATTATGTCTCTGGACAGTGTGAAGTACTTCCAAGTATTATTTGCAATCCTGGGTGTAAGTTGGCACTTAAAGTAGGGTAGAAAAATATAGGTTAACTGCTGCTCTTAATTGGACTTTGTTACTAAGATCGTTGTAGAATGTCATTGTACAACACTTTGGGACTCTTCTGCACACACACATTACAGGCACTGTTAGGTGATGATGCTGTGCACTGCATTATCCTTTTGTATAGATATGTTGAGAGGAAATGCAGCATGATTTATGTTATAGATTCAAATTTGGCATTTATTGCTCAAGCCAGAGATCCTGCTAGGCTCACTGTAAGCCTCTCCTGAGTAAGGTCCGCACACCTGCGGTCACCATTCCAGCTCCCACCAGTGCCAGTAGGAAGAAATACAGTGACTCAGAAAGCACATTAGGTCCTGTTCGGTTGCCAAGAAAATGGAGCTAAACTAAGTCTATGTTAGTGTAACTAAGCAGGTCTAACTCAGTTTGTCCCCAGTTTTGCTCTGTCAAAATGTTTGGAGTCAAAGGGAATATGCCTATGCATAAAACAAGTAGCGACTTAGCAAACACTTTCTTGGGATGGCTATCAATGCAATAAAACATCAGTAACAAGTGATAAATGCTGAGCAAAAGAGGCTTTCCCTAAGCAGCTTATGTTAAGAATATAAATCTTGCCCCACTACCAAAAGACTACATTAAGTGTCGCTCTTCTAATCTTGTTGGCAGCCTGATATCGCCTCTAGGATAAACGTAAGATAAATTGCCTCAGTGGCTCTTCCACTGCAAGTTCTGCTTCGTTAGTCACAATGGGGGATGACTGTCCTTGTGTCAACACTTGGCATCTTCTGGGAGGATGCTCAGCCCACTCCTGTCGTCATCGGTGTAAGGCATCTTTCACCCAGGGGAATGACTCAGGTATAGCTTGTTGGCTCTTGTTAGCCACAGAGCATTACCTAAACCCTGAAGTCTGCATCCCATGGGAGAGCATTAATCTAATCTGTGGTCTTCACAAACACTAGCTTGTGAAGACAAAAATGAAAACTGTAGAAGATACATCTATCAAAGGCATTTGAGTCCCTAAAAATTGATCTGGTATAGTCTGCACCACTGTGGCCAGCACCAGTAACTCACCAGGGTAGAAGAAACTCAAAGTAAACTCCACACCAACCCTAAATGCACTGTCTCTTTCCAGCTTCTCATATCCAGCTTCATTCATATCGTACTGCATCCTGAAAAGGTAATGCAGGACAGAGCTAGAATGGAATAGGTAAAGAAACTCTCTAAATACAACTTTTCTTTGGTTAACAAAGTTTTGACTGACTGACCTTTTGCCTATAATAGCATAAAAGTAGTATCTAAAAACCTTTGCCTTATCAAACAGGTTGTCCCTTATACAAGAACATTAATGAAGCCCAGTTTCCTACAGGCCTGTGATGCAGGCCACCTTATGGTGGCTCCTCTATGTACTTTTCACTTACGATATGGTGGACATGATTAGTCCTCAGTCACTCGTGTCTCAACCGTTCTTTGGCATGTGCTGAAGTGTGAGTTTCAAGTTGAGCTCTTCAGTACCCAGTGATACCAGACATTGCTGATTATATTGCTGATAGCAGCCTCTGGTGATTACTCAGGGGAGCACTCATGGTGTAGCTTTCTCCTCAATGGGAGCATTTCACAGGGCTTCTCTATCCAGTAATCTATTTTAATTAAACTGATAGGAACTTAACTACGTTTGAGACTCCTACTGATAGTTTATCAATCAAAAGTGGTTCAGACTGGTCAGTCTCAAATAAGGAGGTACAAACCAAGTGAGTGTTTAAGTCTCAAATCTCCCATGGAACAAAAAAGTTCACAAAACAGAATAGTCAAGAGTGTGCCAGCTCTAGGCTGTGTCTATGATGGCTGTGACAACTTCAGCACTTTGTTATTAGTTTGCAGAGACAGGATGTGGGCTTAGAAAAAAGGGAAATGAAGCTGAAGCTGTTCAGGAATTCCTCAGCAAGCACCAGCCTTGTTCCTGTCTTTGTGGGATGCTGCTGTCTTTGAAAGATGTCTCAGATATCTTTGTTCTTCTTTAGGAGCACCTTGCAGAGTGGTCCCACTGACCAGCACTTTTCCCAGCAACAGAATGGGACAGAAGGCAGCCCTCAAAGAGCCCATCAGTACATGGCTCAGCTCCATTTTCCCAAGCTATTGGTATGGCCACCTCAATAAAGCACTCAGGACAGAAGAGGCATCATTTCTATGGAGTGATAAAAAAAGCTCACCCTGACCTGAAATTATAAGGAAAGACAGCTTACCCATGCAAAGGCTCACACTTGAGTGATATCATGGAACAGTAGCTGCCAATGAATGAACTGCAGGTGTAGACAAGGTTCGGGTTCAACTGCAGATACAGATGGCTGGCCATGGCAGTGCAGAGATGGAGTATGAACAGAATGTGCTGGTGCCTGAACCCAGCAACTGTTCTTCTGGCATGAAACTGGACCAGCAGCATCAGGAACACCTAAAGCCTGAAAGAACAGGGAGGAGAGTCTGCCTGCTACCCCTTAAAGCCTCACATCAGGACAGCAGCCATGTGCAGCACAGAGAGGGGAGAAGGAAGACTCTAACACCACTTAATGTGTCCCTGGCTCAGCAAATGACTCCACGGCTGCAAACAGTGTCGGTGCAACTCAAGACTTGCTGCGGTTTTTGCCTTGCATATTCTTTGGGTGCAGCAGCACTACTGGAAAGGGCACAAATTCCCATTGTGAAACATATTTCACTGAATAGCAGAGGCACTCAAACAGGGGAAATGCTATTTCCCACTTGTGCTGCAGTATTTCCCTGTGGCCTTTGGGTGACATCATCCTAGCATTCTCCTCCAAAGGCAGGTGGTTTCAGGCATTGACTGATGGCAGGGAATGAATTATCAACTCCCCTAAAAAGATACAGAAACAGAACAGGATTAGACATTTTACCCAGGGGCCACAAGCAGAAATGGGGTCAAATCCAGAATTAGAGTGAAGGTGCTCTAACAATAGGCTACAAGCTATAGGTTTGAATGCTGTCTAGCACAACGTGGCCATAATCCTGCTGAGTCCTCCAGGCAGCACTGCAATATTCATCATCATAATAACGAGTTCCTAATCCCAGTCAAATGCCCAACCCAGTAGGCACCGCCTGACTCACAGAAAGGATTAGCTGACAGATTGTAAACAATAGTTGTGGGAGTCACTGGGCCCATTATGCAACTCTTTCATGCTGAATGTACAGAAATAGTTGAGAAAATTAAGAGCTTTTGCTGAGAACATAAGTAACTGAGATTTTCAAATATAAATAATGGGTATGCTCATTCTTCAGCCCTAGGGATAGCCCATCGATATCATTGCATACCATTCCTAACTCTTGAATCAACCAGACAGGGACTCATGTTCATACTGGGAGACAATAAAGACAAGCTACTTACAAGGTGATCCTCTGAAGCATCCAGACTGCGTCTGCCTCTTCCCATGAACAGGTCCTACTTTCTTTCATCTGTCGCAAGCCAGAACATGTGGGAAAAGCAAGGGGTGAATGGAAAAAAGCAACAGAATTAGAGAAATTAACATTTCTCTATGAGAATTAAAAAAAAATGGAGATCAAATAGATGTTTTTCTATTAAAATGCATTCTACTTGCCTAGAATTTAATTCCAGGAATAGCTGAGAGCTGGCATCTAGGAGACAGTCAGAACTGCTTGAGTTACCGTAACTCAAGGTGAACTCATCTGAGGACAGACAGCATGGCTCAGCCACCAACAGCCACAGTACAGACCACACTCAGTCTAATCACTGTGCAGTTTCACTGAGCTTGGGTTTCATCATTCACTTCACAATGGAGCTGCTTAAACCACCCCCCAACTCAAATAAGAGTCAGTTAAGGACAGTCTTCAGGTTACAGTTTAAATTAATGGTGGAGAAAAAGAATTTTTTTTTTTAATTAATTTTCCCCAGTATTCAGCCTTTATAATTTAGGAAGTTTGAATGTAATTTGTTTCTAATTGCACCACCCTTTCCATAAGAAAAACAAGGCATACAATAATAAATCAGACCCATCTAGCATTTGCCAATCTGGATTCGTTGGTAGAGGAGACAAAACAAACTCTCAGAAAGGAGGGTTGTTGCTAACCTTGTCAGAAGGCATAAATAAAATCAAGGAGAATTATGTGTGCTAATTTTGTTATCTTTCTGAGGCTTGTGATCTCAGAAATCCTCGGGGATTTTTTGAGATGCTCCCTCTCTGTCAGTTCCAAATACCAAGCACGCTCCATATGCGTTCGGGAGATGAACAGCAATTTACAACAATTATGATAAATGATGAACAATAATAAAATAACAATGGAAGAAGCAGTATCTCCTGCCTCTCTATTTGCTTTTTATGCACCATAGCAGGCAACTTCTCTTCTTTTGGCCAGACAGGATGCATACTCCAGCATGGCTGTAGGCAAAGGACTTTGGCTATTGACTTCAGCAGCAGCAGGACAGGGGCAAAGCAGAGCTAAATGAAAGAGATTTCAGTACAGTTGCTGAGGCCTGTCAAAGAGCCCTCTAAGCTTCATGCACTGGGTGGCAGTGGAGCTGACAGCAGCAATGAGCACATTGTTGGTTGCATAGTTAGGGTCATGCCTGCCGGATGCATGCGGGGGCTACTGCCTCACATGAGCATCCTCAGCAGTCTATGATCCATGACCCAGCAACAATAAAGAAGATGTTAAACTAGAAAGGAACTGCAAAGGCAACAGAGGGAGGGGAGTAGTGCCCTATCTGGGAAAACTCCCGACATCCCTCAGAAAGGACAGGTTTAACTATAACTAATGGAAGTAGGTATTAAACTGCAAACATTGCTTACAGTTACAATGTGCTGAAGTTAGTATTCCTTATGGAGGAATGATTCAATCTCCTCTTCAAGATCCAATTTTTAGTTTGCTCACATGCTCACAAGACAATGTTCATGTAGCTCTCTAGCCTTTGTGGGTTTGGAATCATGGCGACTGAACAGGAGAGAGGTGTATATCAAGCCAGGGACTACTATTTAAAATAAGCTTACCTTTTGCAGAACAGAGAAAACAGCTAGGGAAATATCAGATCGAGCAGTTGTTGTTGGATCTAGCTGTTTGCTCTACTTAACCCAAGTCAAAACTCACTCTCTGTGATCCCAATTTAAAGTCTCCTGTTGGTTTCAAGCAAGGCTGAGGTACACACAGGTTACTGAGAAAACCAAAAAAAAAAGCACTGGAGCAATTTATAAAGATCTAGAAGTAATGCACCTGAAATAATGAGAGTAATTGAGTGTGCTGTAAGTGTCAGACATACAGACCATTTTCATAACATAACAGCAAGAGAGTAATAAAGGAATTACTCAAAATTCAGAAGAGGGCTACAAGGTAAAGGGGCTAGAGCACCTTCCATTCGAAGGCAGGCTAAGAAAGTTGGGGCTGTTCAGCCTGGAGGAGAGAAGGCTGCATGAAGGTCTCATAGCAGCCTTCCAGTATATGAAGGGGGCCTATAGGGATGCTGAGGAGGGACTTTTCATTAGGGACTGTAGCAATAGGACAAAGGGCTTCAAACTTAAACAGGGGAAATTTAGGTTAGATATAAGGAAGAAATTCTTTACTAAAAGGGTGGTGAGACACTGGAACAGTCCTCCCAAGCAAGTTCTGAATGCTCCATCCCTGGCAGTGTTAAAGGCCAGGGTGGACAGAGCCTTGATCAACCTGGTCTAGTGGAAGGTGTCCCTGCTCATGGCAGGGGGTTGGAACAGGATGAGTCTTATGGTCCTTTCCAACCTAAATCATTCTATGATTCTACAAATTTTGCCATTAACCATGAGGTTTAGCAATTACTTTCTTTGTTTTGTACTAGGCCTGACAATGACCTAGTCACACCTGAAAGGTAAGAGATTACTCCTTACATGTAGTGCTGCTGCAACACAACATGTCCTTTCACCATACTTCTGCACACTGGCGCATCCTGCAATCCCTTTGTTTTCCAGAAAGTGAAGTCGAAGGCTGTAACTGACTGAGCACCTTAATACTCACTTTGTCTTCTTCTTTTGTCTGCATCTTATTTCCATGTAGGCAATAATCCAGATTATTTTTGCAATTGCTAGGTTATGTCTGTAATGCCAAAAAATCAGATCCATCCATACCTGTTTGGTAAAGTAAAGGAAATCATTAGAAACAAAACAAGGCCCAATGATGGGAAAAGGAAAATGTTCAGCTCTGATCACCAGGCTGCAGAAAGTCAAAGAATGTGAAATAAGACTCCAAAGAATGGTTCTTGAGCAATGCACAAGAACAAGACAAACCCCAAAGCTTCGCCAATTCACCACATGAGGAAATTCCTTCCTATCCCAAACATAGCCAGAGATTCAGCAAGATGTCTGGAAGTGAATATTATTAGGGATCATCTAGCTTGTTTTTATCCAGGCATGACACTGGCACTCAAAAGATGATGTTGGGTTTTGATCTCGCCTTTCAATAATTACACAAGGAATCTCCCACTGCAAAAAATTCCAAATAGTGATTAACCTTTCAGGGCAAAAGCCAGGCTTTCCATGTGTTTGATCTAAATTCAGTTATTTTTTAATTTCCAGGAGTGGCTATATTTTTTTTTTCCTGTTGCTGCTTAGTTCACATAGATTCCTGTGTGGGTCCTGAAGATGTCCTGAAGACATGTCAAATCCTATATAGAGATCTGAGGTCTCGTAGGCGTTAATACATTTAAGCTGTGAAAACATATAAGTGGCAGCAGAGCTATGAAGAATCTTGAATACGAATTAATTTCACATAGAAGGAATGTCTTGCGGTCCTCAGTGGAGTCAGGTTGCTCTTTTAATATCCATCTTTGGGGTGGTAGCGGCTGCTCACTGGGAGGGAGGGCAGCGTGGGGCCAGCACCAGATGAACCTCTTGGGGAGGCACCAGGCATGCTGGATATCATGGACTGCAGCTGGAGCTGAGGATATTAAGCACGACAAAGGGTCTGGCCTTTCAAATGCTTTTCACTGTTGCAGGCCAAAATAATTAAAAAACTCAAGGGATATCTTATTTATGTACTTATGTCTCCCACGTCTCGGCACCTTATGATAAATCCTTATAAATCATGTAAACTGCTTCTAATCTGATTTGGCAGGCTGGCCCAGCGATTCCTGCTTCTGATTAAAAGTGTTTCCTTCTTCACTTGCTGAGTGAAGGCTTAACTCCAGTTCAGCCATTGCACTGAAGTGATGAACAGCAGACCCAACAGGTCAATCACAGACACCAAACCAGGTCGTTTAGTGGTACATGCTACAAATCAACTTCACTGGCAGTAGCCGTCTGTTGCTCACCTCTCTGGATCTACCTTTGAAGACAGAGAGAGACATTTTGGGTGTCCCAGGAGTGTGGGAGCAGTGAGCCATGTCAGAAATTCAGCCCCCATAATCATGAGGTGACAAACTGGGCTCAGTTCTACTAAATCAAACAACAAAGCAGCAACCCCAGAGGAAAACAAGCAGTCTTTTTCAGTCTTCTTGCAGCTCATTATGCAGCCTGGCAGCAGTGTTCTGTGTAATGTAGCTTTTCCCAAACCAAAGCTGTGCTAAGGTACAGTTGACAGTCTAAACCAGCATTTTGTCGTAAAACACCACAGACATTGCGATAACCCAAAATCTAAGCATTAAACGTTCAGCACGAAAGATGCACACAAGCCCAGCTGAGCATGGAAGCAAATAGTTACCGCAGTCAAACCGTCTTGCCTCTGTTTTAAGATGATTCAATATCATGACCATGAAACTAAACTAAAACTACAGATATGTAAGTATGATCAAAGTGTTATAGTCTGATTATTTTACAAAAATTTAAGGGTTAATGATAAATGCAGGGTCTGAACATTAGCCAGTAGGGCAAAATAACATTATCCTACACTATATTTGTAACATGCTGTCACCAGCCCCCTCCTCCTGCCCTTGTTCTATTGCCTGAGCTAGTGTATAAACATTTTTCAAATTGAAGAGTAAGATATCCTGGTGCAAGCTGTAGAGAGATTGGATTCTGATTAAGTCCTTTGGGGACTAGAAACGGGGATGTTTGAAAGAGTTTCCCTATATAATCTATTTTATTCTTGATGACAATTTTAACATCAGAAACTTATAAGTATCCAATCCCTCATCATATTAGTTATCTAAACAACATGATAGGTGGAAAGCAGTGAGCAAGACCAAGCCTCTGCATCTTACTTCAGGAGCAACTCCCCTTCATGGAGTTGTCTGGGATTTGGTAGCAAAGAGGTGTCTATGGCAAAATACATCCCCTGGCTTCAGTGTTAGTCCCACAGTCATTAGCAGTGTAGAAAGAGGAAGGAGAGGGAAACATTGGTATCTTAATTGCAATAGTATATAGAATGCAGTTTCTTCTCAAGTCCTCAGTGCATCCAGCAGCTGTAGCTTCTTAAAACCAGGCATGCCAAAACAGCCACAGCTCCCTTGCTCTTTTTGCTGCAGTGCCTTCTAGCTAAACTATATGCACTGAGCTTCTGCATGCACTGAGCTTCCCTCCTGATGTATTTGTTCATAATCATACCTGTTGAAGATGGGAGTAAGAAGGAACTCGACGGCAAAAAACTCTGATCACACAGCTGTAACAACATGGTTGACGTCAGTGATGCTGGATAGGCTTGCTGTATACCCACTTAGCCTTCTATGAGACCTCTGTGTCACATTTAGAACACTGTCCCATTTCGGCATAACTTTCTTTTCATTGTGCAGAACAGTGGATTTTAATTGGAAATACTGCAAACACTGTCCAGCATCTTTCTGTATCAATGTATCCTTGGAGTTCAGACATAAGACAAATCCTTCCCAACCCATGGATTTCTCCAATTGCTTTTCCCTCTTCAGACAGGGAAACACACAGAGCTGAGTGTTTCAGTACATTCTAAGACAGAAAGTACAATAAATTATATTCACTTAATCTGTGCTCAAGGATTCATGCATTCCTCTTTACTCTTATTCTGTCCTTAAGAGTCATTCTGCCTTGTTCCTTCCAAGGCTATGAGCACCATTCAGATCCTGCATGTAATCCTGGTCTCTTGTACATGTTTTCTGCCTGGCATCATCTGATGCAGGACGTTCAGCCTCCTCAAGGGGCAAGGTCCTCAGATGCTCGTATATGCAGTTTAACTATCCAGAAATCAAACAGTGACGACTGCAAGAACTTTAAAACCCTCTTCCTAAACAAAACCAAGCTACCTAGTAGATTGTAGCAAGAAGGTACACAGCCATGGAAAAGCAGAACCCTGAGCACATCTCCCCCACCAGGTACCCATGCTGCCAGCAGGTCCCTGGTATTTGCAGGAAAACCAGGGATTCCCGGTCTCCTATGTCTGCCTCTTGCTCCAGAGTGCCTGTTCCTTGGCAGAAGGCATTTTTCTGTTTTAAAAACAGCTGGTGGCCCTTGTGCCCATTCCCCCTGTACTAGGATTTTGCATGCACTGGTCCTGAAGACAAAACACTAAGAGAGTTATTTTGAGTCAATAACTACCAGTTGCTGCCATGGTGGAGCTTCTCCAGGTTGATGTGCCTTGCTTCAGTGTCTGAGGCTGAGCTGGTTTCCTGCTGCTGAGAACTTCATGGCAATCACCAGAACAAAAATGAATTCATAGGCTGCCACTGATGCCCTTAAAACCCTCACTGTCTTTCCAACTTAAGAAATGGAAAATAGAGTTGTCAGAATCTGCCTTCCCTACTCAGGGTAGGCAGTGGACAAATTGTAACTTACTGGTTTGGGCTTTAAAACCTCTATTCTAAGTTGAAACCACAGCACAGTTTTGCACATGTACCATATGAGAGCAGTTCTTGATCAAAGATGCGCTCCCACTAGACCCTCTCTCCCTGTCCTTGCTGTGGGTACCAGGGTGGGATGCATCCACAGATCGTGCACACCACAAGTACAAAGCAGTGGAAAAATTCCTGTGAAGGAAAAGTTAGTCTCCTGTTTATATCTAGAGCTAGTATTTCATGTAAACTGTGATGTTATAGAGTCAGGTGTGTGTAGTATTAAAAGACATTTCTCCTTGCCCCTTTGTACGTAGCTTGACAGAAGCAAAAGAGTCTCTGACAGATGCTGATGAAATGAGCTATCTGGTTATAGAGCTGAAATATTTGGAAAAGACACAAGCGAGAGCAGAATTTATTGCCTTTGTGAAAAGGGGATTTAATTTCTAAACTCTCCACACGTGGCAATGAACAACCTTGTCTCTGCCCTCTGGTGACAGCCGCCTGTAGGCACTGTGCAATTATGATTAAAGCCTTTTATTGTTTTTGTCCCAGATTAGATTAGGTTGGTATTTAAAGATACAATTTTCTCATTGCATTGTCACACCAGGAGAGAGACATGGTTGTCTGAGCACTTTAATAGGGAGCAAAGAAGAAATCTGAATGCTTTGAGGTAGACATGGCTGGCAAGACTCCTAACTTCCAGGAAGAGCAGAAGAGATTGCCATGCTTCTAAGTTAATAGTGTTATTGATATTAATCCTTAGTTTTCAGTTTAAATGGGAAAACAGTTTGAGTTCACAGTCACTAAACACAGCGTAGGGCAAAGAAGGCCACTGTGCTGTGTTTCTAGTGCTGCCTACAGCAGAGGTCCTCTCCCTCCCTGGCCACAGCAAGGTCAGCATCCCTGCTCCAAAAGCCAAGGTAACTGCTGCACACAGCTGTGTTGGGCAACCCCTCATGTTGCAGGACTGGGACATTTCTCAAGGATGAATCTTAGAATGCAGCGCCTACAGCTATGAGACTGATAGATCAATTTACACATCAAGACCTATTGTTGGATCAGATGATAACATACACAAGGATTATTGAGTTATGCACTCTTTATCACATAAACCAGTATCTCAGCTATTGCTGTTAACATTATTATGATTTGAGATGAATGGTAGCTCACCTGATGCATGAGCAGGTCTCCAGGCAAGCCCCCATGCCAGCATGCAGCCACCAAGCTTCCCAGGGCAACAGGGCTGCCTCACATAGTCTGCCCTGCTTGTGCATATATTTTCCTTGTTACAGATGTTTGAATCATGTCGCTCCAATTAGCTGTACAGGCAGGATGGTGTAAGGAGACTTTAGTTTTGACATCTCAAATGGCCTCACCCAAGGCTTATCTAAGCTGCTGACTTTACTGTATTTAGCCTGCTGTAATTATAGTAATTAAAGGCACTTGTTAATAATTAGGATATTTACAACCTAATATTTTTTCAGTGTTACCTGGG